ATTTCCTGGTAGGGTTTTGTGCATTAAAAAAAAAAAACAAAACACAAAACAGCAATCTGAGGTTCTCCCTCCCTGCTTTGGCATTTTTTTAGGTTCCCAAATCCAATTTACAGGGGATTGTCTGAGGCACCCCGGCTCTGCCAGCCTGACAATGTCCCTCCAGCAATTAGCAGCACCTGCATTAGGATTCAATGGACTTAAATTACTGGGGGGTGAGGCAGACACCCCACTGACAACAATTAACACAAAAGCCCTGCACCGTTTAAAGCTGTGGGTGGGAATTACAAAAGGTTAAGAGACTAAATATAAAAAAATTTTTGAATATAAAATCAATGTGCTTTGTTACTAAAATCTGGGTGCTATAATTTAACCAAATTAGGGTTTAGACTATCTGGCAATGGTCCATGTCTATGACATCGTCTTTTATTCTCAACAAAAACCAACTTGTCTATTCAAAAGTTAAAAACAATTAAACAACTGAAATATTTCATGTCAACAAAATAATAAAACACAGAGTTTTGAATTACGTACTACTGACATTAGGCCTTTGGAAAGGGAAAGCATTTTCTCTCCTCGTTTCACTTATTTGTGTAATTGGAAGCCAAGTTCTCAGAGGTTCAGTTTTCTTAATTGCCTGCCTGATGCGGGAGTAGAGTGCTGACCCACCATCTGTGAAAGCCTGGCCCCTCTGGGGCTGGGGAAGCTGAGGGCTGAGCCCCCAGGGTAGGGGGCCTGCAGGAGGCTGGAGTGGGGGGTGAGACCCTGAGTGGGGGTGCTTCCCAGTGGCCCCTCCTTTGCAAACAGGCATTGGCTCTGGGCACCCACAGTTCTGAACCACTGACCAGGAGGCTACATTTTCTTCTGTCCAGACAAGTCTGGGGTGCAGGGTGGGGACGCAGGGGTGCCAAGCCCCTGTAGCTGCTCCTGCTGGCTGGGGTCTGTGCTCATGCACATCTGGGCTGTCAGAACAAGTTGAAACAGGAAAGCCGCTTTAAAATTAAGACGATGCGGGTTCCGTTCTAACTTGTGGTCAGCCTCAGCTTCGAGGCTTCTGCTCAGGGCCGTCTTTCCTCCCTCCCTTCCCGGGGCAGCTGACCTCTGGGAGACCCCTAACCACTCCAGGGTTTGAACCTGACCTTGTGCTCCAGGGTGGGAAGGGGGGTGGCCAGGAGGCCACAGCAGCTCCCCCATCCGCTCGCTGAACGCAGCGCTTCCTCTAGGATCAGGGTCGCAGGTGCTCCGGCCAGGGTCTGCTAGACACGCCCACTGGGGCTTCGGCTCAGGGAAGGGCCCGGGGTTGGTGGCTCCTGACCCCCAGCACTCAGCCCTGGCTGGCCTGCCCCACTGAGTAGGCCTGGGGGGGCCCTCGTCAGCTCCCGAGACTGCGACAACCCCATGGCACAACCACTCCATCTCCCTCAGTACCTGCTGGTCTAACAGAATCAGCATCTTCACTACCAGCCCATTTTACCAAACCCGTTAACCACAGCCTACAGTCCTGTCATGGGGCTGGAGGGTGAGGTTGGGGGCAGGCAGGGGTCACAAATGGGGCTGCTTTCTATAAGGAGATGTGGGGAGAGGGGGTACCTGCACGGAGATGGCAGGAGGGCCAAATCCTTGCCCACAGGCTGTGTCCTGTCCAGCTCTGTGCCCTCCAGGGCCTGGTGGTGCAGCAAGATGATGGGGTTTCTGATTTGGCCTTCAAACCATTTGGCAGATGATGAGAAATATCCAGCCTCCACTTCTTCTCTGGTATCAGAACCTGGTCCAAGCTGGCAAACTGTTTCTTGTTTCTGCATGGCCTAGTGGGGTCCTGTGACCAAGTTCTGGCCAGTGAGGTGTAGGTGGCAGTGGGAATGATAACTCCAGGAAGCTTTTTAGAAGGGAAAGGCTTCTGACTCCTTATGCTTCCCTCTTCCTACTAGCTGCAATATGGCAATGATGGCTGGCACTTGTGCAACCCTCAAGGGCCATGAGGTGGTGCACAGAGTAGAATAGGAAACAGAAGCAGGAGTCCTTGGTCACTGAGAGATGGGTGACCACAATGGGGCTGCCCGATGAGCGCAAGGGGCTGGGTGACTAGGCTTTGGTGAGAGCCGCCCCATATCCAGCTGTGCTGGTCACAACAGGCAATCAGTAGTGCTCACAACTCTGGGGTGGAAGTTGGATGTTTCACTGGACTCTTCTGGTTGGGGGCGGGGTCCCTATAAGTCGCTTCAGTATGAACAGTAACCTCAGAGGTTCTACTGGTCCAAGTTTCTTCCAGGACTTGTGCTGGGTTATCTTTGATCTGAAACCCACTGGGCTGTTCTTGAGACCTGTTTGTGCAGGGATCCTGGCTGCAGCTGGCGACCTGAAGAGATGTCCTTCAGGCTGGGCCCATGGCAATGCTCCCGACCTCAGACTCAGCAAGGGCCGCCCTCCGTGCTGTGTCCTGCCCCTCTCAGACCTCACCCAGGGGAGCACGCAGGCAGAGACAGCCACCCAAGACCCCTGGGGCCCTCAACAGGCCGGAGAAAGGGCTCTGGTCCCTGGTGAAGGTCTGGGTCTAAGAACCAAGCAAGAAAGGGTCATGGCTGTGTGGGGTGAGCATGAGGGGGACAGGGCTTAGTTTCCTGGTTCTGAGATACAGACATTCACCCAATGTGGAAAGGACTCCTGGTTTGTGATGCCCTTATGGTGAGCTGCCCCAGAACACTGAGCTCTCTGCTTTCCTTCAGGATGAGGGAGAGATAAAGAAAACTTGAAAGTTAAAGATATCTATCCTCATATAGCTGGGCTTCCCAGGTGGTGCAATGGTAAAGAATCCACCTGCAATATGGGAGACACAGGAGATGTGGGTTTGATCCCTGAGTGAGGAAGATCCCCTGGAGGAGGGAAAGGCTGTCCACTCTAGTATTCTTGCCTGGGAAATCCTGTGGACAAAGGAGCCTAGCGGGCTATATAGTCCATGTGTTCGGACATGACTGAATGAGCACATATACACACATTCCCATAGAGTCACTAAAGGAGGTTTTATCAGAGCCAGGAAAGGCCTGGTCACTCCTCTGGCCATTTCAGGGCTTTGTTCCACCCACCAGGGTCCTAGGTCTGACTGGGTGCCCCCCAGACTCCCTGCAGCCCTGGGCCCTCCTTCCTGCTGACCGTGTACATGACCCACAAGTTTTAACTGTTATTGTTGTTGTTGTTGTTCAGTCGCTCAGTTGTGTCTGACTCTTTGTGACCCCGTGGACTGCAGCACACCATGCTTCCCTGTCCTTCACCATCTCCTGGAGCTTGCTCAAACTCATAGCCATCAAGTCGGTGATGCCATCCAACCACCTCATCCTCTATCATCCCCTTCCCCTCCTGCCTTCAATCTTTCCCAGCATCAGGGTATTTTCTAATGAGTCAGCTCTGCACATCAGGTGGCAAATGTATTGGAGCTTCAGCTTCAGCATCAGTCCTTCCAGTGAACATTCAGGATGGGTGTTCTGTTATTATCTTAGGGTTTCTCTCACTGGAGGCTGACCGCTCACCTCCTTGCAGCAGAGCTGGAGTGTGTACCACAGGACAGACAGATGCAGCATGTTCACCACCCTGGGCTGACCCAGGCTCCCTAGCAACAGGCCCGAGGGACTTGGGTGTGGGGAGGGGGTGAGTGTTGCCGTGGGGGGTGGGGACTTTCACCTGGAAGGGTCCCACGTGAACCCACTCCCGCGAGGGGAAGACTGAGTCCTGAGAGGGGCAGAAACAGGAGTGTCCTCCCTGCCCTCTAGATGGGGGCCCTGCTCCCTCCTCAGGGCACTGTCTGGGGCCAGACCTGGTGGCGGGGCAGAGGGCGCAGGGGAGCTCAGTCCATTGTCCTGCAGGCAGATGCTGAGAGCACCTCGTTCTGTAGAAGAGGAGCTGAGCCCCAGGAAGGTTCAGGTGGAAAGGGACAGAGTCGCTCCTGCTGAGCACCCAGGGCCTGCGACTCGGCAGCGAACGCCAAAGGGGCTGGAGCTGACTGGGTGCGGACCCCTCGGCTTCCCCATGGGCCGTTTTCTATGGCTCGACACCCACATGCTGGGTCCAGTCCATGGGCCTGCACATGGTCACTGACGCGGGGCTCACACTTGGGCTGGCAGAGAGCCTGCCGCCCAGTGAGCGCCTTCATGTAGAAATACCAGCACATTCTCTGATAACGACAATGACGATGACAACGCAGCTAAATTTGCTTCCGTAAACAGAGGGGGGACGCAGAGACAGGGTCCTGGGCCAGGTCACCAAGGGTCCCCTGAACCAGCCAGCCCTGCCCACCCTGGGAGGGAGGGACCCAGGCCTTGGTCTGGACGCTGCTCCATCTGACTCTGGCCCTGGATGCGGCAAGTCTGTGCCCCTACCCACCTGGGGCACTCCCAGGGCGAAGGAGAGTGTGAGACCCTAAATTGAAGAGTATGCACCTGCCTAGTGGGGACCCCAGCTCCAATTACCCAGGGGCCCTCCCAGAAGGGTTGAGGACCTGGGGTACCAGGCGGGGCCCCCATCACTGGGACACTGCTCTCCCGTAACTAAAACGCAGCCCCTCCCGACTAAGACAAAAGCCCCAGGTTTGCAAGAGGATTCAATTCTCAGCTCTAACTGCAGAGATTAAAAACAGACAGCCTCACTCTGTGTTCACGGCCACAAGGGACACGCTCGTGCAGCGCGCAGGACAGTGGTGCGGTGGCCCGGACCACTCACCCCCTCACCCCTCCCTGCTGGGGGCTCAGGATCTGCACTGTGAGCACGTCCAGCAGCCTGGACGCCGGGTCGGCCGCCCCCAGCCCGCCTTCAAAACCCTGGCCACAGTGACTGCCCTCGAAACTGTCTGGCCAGGACCTGGGTGTGTCTTCCTGGGACATCCCAGGTCTCCCAGGTCTGCTGTTCTCAGGGGTCAACTTCACTTCCTTCTGCCCAGGTCTGGGGGACACGGCTGTCAGCCGTGACTCTCTGAGTTCATATTGCCCACCGCAGACCCCTCAGTTAGCCCCACTCACCAGGCAGGCCACCGGGGTCCCCCTCAGGGAACGGTGAGTCAGCACTGGCACTTTCCAGGGCAGCTCTGGGCTCTGGGCCCCCGAACTTGGGGCTGGACAGAGGGTAGGAGATGCACTGGAATCCACTGTGGAGGGAAGGACAGTGTCACCCAGCTGCAGAGACATGGGGTCCAGGGAGGAGAAAGGGCCGGGGTGGCTCCTCAGAGGCCAGGGGTTAGGGAGGAAGGAGGGAGGGGATGGTGTCTAACTCGGCCTCCCTGCCTCGCTGCCCTCGGCCCGGGACCCCTGCCTTGCTCCGCCACCACTGTCAGAAGAGGCCTTGGTTTCCCCTCCACCAGACCAGTGTGTGGGAACCCCAGTGCCCACGTCTTGGTGTGAGGAGTGGGCAGGGACAGTCCTAGCCAACCCTCCATAGAGTAGAGGAGGGACCGCTCCTGCCATGCCTGCCCAGGTGCCGCCCAGGGCCACCCTTACTCACAACGGGGTCTGGATGGGCGTCTGCCCGAGGCCGTCATCCACTCTGAAAAAGCTGACCTCCGAGTAGGCCGGGAGCTGCACGTACCGGACGCCTGCGGAGATCTCCAACTCCCGGCCGTCCTCACCTTCCAGCAGGAGAAAGAGGTTGCTGAGGGCTGTGAGGGGGTAGTGGCACGACATGGGCCCCCGTCTCCCTGGGCCTTTGTAAGGAGAAGGGCACTGGATGGGGCTGCAACCAGGCTCACCTTGCCCCACCCTTGCATTCCTGGACCCTCGGCTCCACCTTACCCTCAGCCAAGCTGCCCATGGCTCAGAGGAAAAGGACATTTGTATAGAGACGTGAAGGCAGATTTCTCGGGGAAAACAGCACAGAGAGGCAACCCCATGCGGCAGTGGAAGATGAGCTGGGATCCTTGACATGGTAACAAAACCATGACACAGGAGAGCTGAGAGAACTTATCACTAGCAGATGTACGTAACAAGAAATGTTAAAAGTTAAGTCCTTTGGGCAGAAGGAAAATGGTAGCAATGGAAACCTGTGCCTACAGGAAGCCGTGAGAGCCAGAAATGGTACCTAGAAACAGATGAAACTTCCTTTTCTGTTTGTCAGCTACTCCCCAAAAGATAAACAACTGTTTAAACAAAAATGATCTACGTGTTATAAAGCTTATTAGATACATGAATGTAAAATGTAATGAAACAAAAGCATAAAGATTGTATTGTAGACAGGAAGTATAAACTGTAAAGCTCTTATACTGTCCATGAAGGAGTATGATACCACTTGGAATTAGACTGATAATATAAAGATGTATATTTACATCGTTAAGTAAATCTTAAAGTATCCTCTAAAACGACACAGAAAAGAGTTACAATTGATAATCCAGAAGAGGAAATAAATGGAATTAAAAAAAAAAACTCAATGAATCCAAAAAAGAAAGGGATAGAATATAAGGGAAAAAAACAGCCAGGGAAAATAGAGAAGAAATTGTAAAATGGTAAGTTTGAACCTACTATATTAAAAATTATATTAAATGTGAATGGTGTAAACCATTTAGTTAAAAGAGAGATGGTTAGATTGGATAAAAAAGTAAGACTGAGGTATATGTTGCCTACAAAATAATATATTTAAACTATAAAGATGTGAATAGGTTAAAGATAAAAGCATGGATAAGGATGCTGATACCAGTCAAAAGAAAACTGAGTGACTGCATTAGTATCAAAGAAAGTAGGTGTCAGAGCATAGACTATCAGCGGGGGTAAAGAAGATAATTTCACAATGATACGGTCAATTAATTAAATGACATAAAAATACTAAATGTTTATGCTCCTAATAACAGAGTTTCAAAATACATGAAGCTAAAATTGACAGAAATGAAAGCAGAAATAAACAAAAACACAAGCATAATCAGAGATTTCAATATACCACTGTCAATAACTGATGGAACAGAGATAAAATCAGTAAGGATATAGCAAACTCAACAAAAATATCAACACAATTTACTTGATTGATGTTTATAGAATATCCTATCCAATTCCACTCAAGAACAGAATCCACACTCTTCTCAAAGTGCACTCAAAACATTTCCCAAAACAGACCATATTTTGAGCCACAAGTCTCAAAAATTTAAGAGAATTTAAGATACAAAGTATGACTCTAACCACATAGAATTAAGTTAGAATCAATAACAGAAAGATCTCTGGAAAATCTTCAAATATTTGGAAGTGAAACAACACACTTCTAAATAACTCTTGGGTCTCAAAGGAAATCAAAAAGGAAATCAGAAAGTATTTCAAATTGAATGAAAATGAAAGCATACCACATAAAAATTTGCAGGATGCAGTTAAAGTAGTACTAAGGGGGAAATTTATAGTAATAAACTTCTATATTAGAAAAGTCTGAAATAACGTTGGAAACAATTCCACCTTAACAAGTCAAAAAAGAAAATAAAATTCAACCGAAACTACGCTGAGGCAAGGAAGTAATAAGATCGAAATAGGAATTAATGAAATAAAAAGCACACAATAGAGAAATGAAGAAAACCAAAAGTAGGCTATTTATCAATGAAACTAGTAACATCTCACTATACTATTCAGGAATAATAAAAAAAAAGACACCTGTAATCCATATTAGGAACAAGAGAGGTGATATCAGTTCATTAAGCAGGGGGCAAGGGTATATGCAGAGTCCATCATGAGAAACGCTGGGCTGGAAGAAGCACAAGCTGGAATCAAGATTGCTGGGAGAAATATCAATAACCTCAGATATGCAGACGACACCACCCTTATGGCAGAAAGTGAAGAGGAACTAAAAAGCCTCTTGATGAAAGTGAAAAAGGAGAGTGAAAAAGTTGGCTTAAAGCTCAACATTTAGAAAACTAAGATCATGGCATCCAGTCCCATCACTTCATGGCAAATAGATGGGGAAACAGTGGAAACAGTGTCAGACTTTATTTTTTTGGGTTCCAAAATCACTGCAGATGGTGATTGCAGCCATGAAATTAAAAGATGCTTACTCCTTGGAAGGAAAGTTATGACCAACCTAGATAGCATATAAAAAAGCAGAGATATTACTTTGCCAACAAAGGTCTGTCTAGTCAAGGCTATGATTTTTTCCAGTGGTCATGTATGGATGTGAGAGTTGGATTGTGAAGAAAGCTGAGTGCTGAAGAATTGATGCTTTTGAACTGTGGTGTTGGAGAAGACTCTTGAGAGTCCCTTGGACTGCAAGGAGATCCAGCCAGTCCACCCTAAAGGAGATCAGTCCTGGGTGTTCATTGGAAGAACTGATGCTGAAACTGAAACTCCAATACTTTGGCCACCTGATGCGAAGAGCTGACTCATTGGAAAAGACCCTGATGCTGGGAGGGATTGGGGGCAGGAGGAGAAGGGGATGACAGAGGATGAGATGGCTGGATGGCATTACTGACTCAATGAACTTCAGTTGAGTAAACTCCGGGAGTTGGTGATGGACAGGGAGGCCTGGCGTGCTGCGATTCATGGGGTTGCAAAGAGTCGGACACGACTGAGCAACTGAACTGAACTGAACTGAAGGGAATGTCATGAACATTCAAGAAATCGGACAACTTGGAAGACACAAAACACCAAAGCTCACTCAAGAGCAAACAGATAACCTGAACAGCCTTATATGCGAGGGAAATGGGATTAGTAGTTAACAATCTTCCTACAGAGAAATCTCCAGGCCCAGGTGGGCTTCATATTAAATTCTACAAACATTTAAGAAACAATACTAATTTGACACAAACTCTTCCAGGAAATTAAAGAGGAGGGAATTTCCGCAACTTACGTTATGAGGTCGGCAATATCCTGATACCAAAACCAGACAAAGACATCACAAGGAAAAAAAAAATTAAGACCAATTTCCTTATGAACAGACATGCAAATATTTGAAACAAAATGTAGCAAGCTGAATGCCCAGGTAATTCAAGGGGGGAAGAGAGGAAAGAACAGTCTTTTAACCAACGAAGCTGGGACAACTGGACATCCACTTGCAAAAGAGGATGAAGTTGGACCCCAGCCTCACCCTATATACAAAAGTTAACTCCAGATAGACATTAGGCTAAATGGAAGAGCTAAAAATATAAAATTCTTAGAAGAAAACAGAGGAATAAAACTTCATGACTCTGGGTTAGGCAGTCTTCTTAGATATGACATCAAAAGTACAAGCAACAAGAGAAATAAAAATAAACTGAACTTCATCAAAATTTAAACTTTTGTGTTCAAAGGACAGTCAAGAAACCACATGACAACCCACAAAATAGGGGAAAATATCTTCAAATCAGATATCTGATATGGCGCTTGTATCCAGAATATATAAGGAATTCTAGATTACTCAGAATAAAAAGACAAGTTGCCCAGTGTTTTAATGGGCAAAAGATCTGAATAGATTTTTCTCCAGAGAAGATCTACAGATGGCCAGCAAGTGCATAAAAAGATGCTGCACACATCATTACTTGTTAGGGAAAGGCAAGTCAAAACTGCAGTGAGACACCAGGACAACTAAAACCAGAAAAACAGCGTAACTGGGCTGGTGAGGAGGTGGAGCAACTGAGGCCCTCTGGGAATGAAAAGGAAGAAAAGCAAACTGCATTTATTTGTAGATGACATGATCCTTTGTACAGAAAATCCTAAGAAATCCTCAGAAAAATCTGTTAGAACAAACAAGCTCAGCAAGGTTATAAAACATACATAAATCAGCTGTAGTCTTGCGATTGCTGAAGTGAAGATAACAAAACAATTCCATTTGTAATAACATAAGAGGAAATAACAAATGTATCAATAAACAAACTATAATTGAATAATGATAATTTTTGTTGTTGTTCAGTTGCTAAGTCGTATCTGACTCTTTGAAACCGCATGGACTGCAGCATGCTAGGCTTCCTCTTTACCATCTCCTGAGTTTGCTCAAACTTGTTTTTTTTGCTGACTACAGAGGTTCTCCATCTTCAGCTGCAAAGAACATAATCAATCTGATTTTGGTATTTACCATCTGGTGATATCCATGTGTAGAGTTGTCTCTTATGTTGGTGGAAAAGAGTGTCTGCTATGACCAGCGTGTTTTCTTGACAAAATTCTGTTAGCCTTTGCCCTGCTTCATTTTGTACTCCAAGGCCAAACTTGCCTGTTACTCCAGGTATCTCTTGACTTCCTACTTTTGCATTCCAGTCCCCTATGATGAAAAGGACATTTTTTTCTTGGTGTTAGTTCTAGAAGGTCTAGAACCGTTCATCACAGAACGGTCATCACAGAACCGTTCAACTTCAGCTTCTTCGGCATTAGTGGTTGAAGCATAGACTTGGATTACTGTGATGTTGAATGGTTTGCCCTGGAAATGAACCAAGATCATTCTGTCGTTTTGGGGGTTGTACCCAAGTACTGCATTTCATACTCTCTTGTTGACTATGAGTGCTACTCCATTTCTTCCAAGGGATTCTTGCTCACAGTAGTAGATAAAACAGTCATCTGAATTAAATTCCTGTCCATTTTAGTTCATGGATTCCTAAGATGTTGACCACTTGATTTACCACTCCAATTTACCTTGATTCATGGACCAAACAATCCAGGTTCCTATGCAAACTATTAATTATTTATTAGTAAGTTTACCAAAAGAGCTAGACTTGCACACTGAAAAATACTAACATTGATGAGCCTGAAGATAAATAGATGAAGAGATGTTTCAAGGTCAATCAGAAGTGTCAGCTTCTCCCGGCTTGTTCAATCCATCCCAGACAGAATCCCAAAGAAGGCAGGCTTGCTTTTTTTCCCTTTTTTGGGGCAAAAATTGACAAGTTGATCCCAGAATATTCAAACAGAAATACGAAGGTCCCAGAATAGCCAAAACAATTTTGAAACAGAAGAAAAGGCTGGAGGAATTTCCAGTTTCAAAGCATGTGCTGTGTGCTCACTCAGATGCTCAGGCGTGTCTGACTCTGCAACCTTATGGACTGTAGCTCACCAGGCTCCTCTGTCCATGGGATTTCCCAGGCAAGAATACTGGAGTGGGTAGCCATTCCCTTCTCCAGGGGATCATCCCGACCCAGGGATCGATCTTGTGTCTCCTGCATTGGCAAGCAGATTTTTTTTTTAACCGCTGAGCTTCTCGTGAAGCCCTTCAAAGCTTACTGGAGGGCTATGGTATAAGGAAAGACATATTGATTGATGGAGTGGAAGTGACATCCATCCACATGTAAACTTTTACACCTACAGTCAAGTCACTTCTGACCCAGATGCCCAGGCAATTCTGCAGGGAAAGGACAGTCTTTTCAACACACGGCACTGGGACAGCTGGAATCCATGTGAGAAAAGATGAATTTAGACCTTTATCTGATCCACGAAAATTAACTCAAACCAAAGTTGTAAAAGAAAAGAGGAGAAAAATCTCTGTAAACTTGGGTTAAGAATCCTCAGATGCATGACTAAGACCGTAGTCGATAAAAGAAGAAACTGACAAACTGGGCTTCATCAGAATTTTCAAACTTTGGGGACTTCTCTGGCAGTACAGTGGTTAGGACTCTGTGCTTCCACTGTAGGGGGCATGGGTTTGATCCCTGGTCGGGGAACTAAGTAAGATCCCACAGGCTGTATGGCAAGAAAAAAAAAAAGTTTTAAAACTTTGAACATTAAAAGACAACATTAACCAAAGAAGAAGAGAGCAGCAGAGGATGAGATGTTTGGATGGCATCACTGACTCAATGGACATGAATTTGAGCAAACTCTGGGAGACTGTGGAGGACAGGGGAGCCTGGTGTGCTACAGCCCATGGGGTCATGAAGAGTGGGACACGACTGAGCGACTGAACAACAACGAAAAGGTCACACTGAAAGAAAATATCTGCAAAGATACATGTGACAAAGGACTCCTATCCAGAACACATATAGAACTTGTATACAAGTAAAAACTAAGACGAACCACCTAATTTTTTTAAAAAACTGGGTGAAATACATGAATAAACATTTCTCTGTGAAGACGTACAAATGGCCAATAAGCACATGAAGAGCTGCTCAACATCATTAGTTTTGGGTTAACACGGATCAAAACCGTGAGGTGGTGCTGCCACTGGACACCCTGAGGATGGCCTCTCCCTGGCGAGGACATGGAGAAATCAGAACCTCGTATGTTGCTGACGGGACTGTAAAATGGTGCCGCCACTTTGGAAAACTGTTTGGCTGTTTCTTTGGAAATTTAAATGCCAACCTGCCACATGACCCAGCAAGTCTACTCATGAGTGTGTGCCTGAGAGAAATGAAACATATTTACACCAGGCCCTGTGCACAAATGTCCACTGCAGCCAAGTGCCCAGGACAGGACCGGCCCCCTGGGGATGCAGGATAAGAGATGTGCAGCCCATGGAGGGGCGAGCAGGGCTGCGTGGGTGGGCTGAGGGGCAGAGCGCGGCCACAAATGGGATCCCATCCACGAGCAGCTTTTGGGAACGGACATTGGTAGTGCCCAGGGTGGAGGGTGGGTGTGGGGCAGGAGCCAGGGGTCTCTCTGGGCAGAAGGAAATGCTCCAAAACGGAGTGGGTGCGGTGATGGTTGCCCAACTTTGCAAGTTTACTACAAATCGTTGGCTCACTGAATATAGATGAGTTTTACGGTATGTAAGTGACACTGTGATGAAGTTGTTAAAATAAACCAATTGTGACTAAATATACTTGATTTATGCTACACACTATGCCTCCTCACAGAGCTGCGGAGCCAAGGTGAACCAGTAGTGATTATCCCTGGTGGTCCTGCCCTGTCCCTCTGCCCCCAGCAGACCAGGGGTCTGCTCTGCTCATGGGTGAGAAGCCTGGTGGTCCCTCTGCTTGGCCGCAGGGCTGACCGAGCATCTAAACGCAGCCTGGACAGATGGGTGTCTCTCCACCTTGGTTACCCCATGAGGAGTGAGAGAAGCTCTCTCCTGGCAGGCTGAACGGCTGGCCCTGGCCTCCCCATCCGCTGACTCTGAGTGAGCATCAGGGAGGGCTGCCCATGTGCACACACACAGACATACACATGTGCACATGCTCACACATGTGTACATGTGCTCACACACAGAGCAGAGTTCATGTGCTTACATACATGCACGTGGAGGCACACAGACAGCCCAGGTACTCACACACACAGAGCCCATGTGCTCACACACACGCATATGGAAGCATGCATGGAGCCCATGCACTCATACACACACAGGCATACATGGAGGCACGCATGGAGCCCTCATGCTCACATGCACACGCAGGCCTCGTAAGGCTGGCTGCCTCTCGCCAGCTGGAGGCTAGCACCCTGCCACCCTTTCTGCCAGGGCCCCAGCAGCAAGAACTCAAAAACGGGGGCACCGAGGCGGAGCCCCAATGCTAGGAGCCACCTGCGGCATCTTGAGTCAACAGTTGTTCGTCTTTCTGAAGAGCTCACTGTCTTCCTGGAGACACTTACTCGTGGCCACTTCCCCGTTGTCCCGCTGCAGCTGAACGGTCAATGTGAGGGAAGACCCTTGGGCTGTGTCCATCACCTCTGGACCCAAAATCACGATCCTTGTGGCTTGTGCTGCAGAGAACAGAGCACAGGTGTGTGTGTGGGGGCGGGGTGGGGCAGGGGCTCTGGGTCTGCATCAGCACCCCACACGCCCTGAGCAGGTGCTCAGCCCCGTCCCCGGGGCACCTGGTTGAGGGGGGGTGTGGATGGCACGGCCGTCAGGGCTGGGGTCTTTCATGGAGGCCACGAACCCTATCCTGAAGGTCAGCCCTGAACCCACCTGATGGTGTTGGGGGAGGGCAGGGCAGAGGCGACCACTGCGTGCAGGTGACCACCCAGCAGTGTCTGGTGCACACGGCCTCCCGCCCACCGTTCTGACCTGGGCCCTGCCTTCATTGTGTCCGAGTCCATGACCTAACATGTGCTGGATGAGGCTGCGACCACCTGCCTGGAAGCTGGCCTGGCCAGGGGCCCACCTGCAGCTCTGAGTGAGCAGCTGCATCCATGGATCTGGTACCAAGGTTCTGATCAGGGACTCGAGTCCCCAGACTGACCGCTATGGTGGTACCCTTGTCCTGGAGGCTAACAGAAGGTCCTCACACATGCCCGGGGGGGCAATTCAGGGTCGGGGGGAAGCCCCAGCAGAGGACCTGGCAGGCCCCAGGCCATCTGAGGTCACATGCAGTGCAGAGAGCTCAGGGTAGGGGCAGGACGGAGACCGGGCAGGGGGCCAGGCACCCAGAGCCCTGAGGCTGGGAGAGTCCCAGACTGGCAGACCCTGTGCCTGGGAGGCCTGCCTGCAGCAGAACCACGTGGCTCCAGAGTCCAGGGGCCTCTGTGTGCCTTGGGCCCGGTGAGACCACACAGAGCATGAACTTCTCAAAAGGGGATTGTAGATCCCTCTTCATCCCAGCCCCCTGGGCCACTCCTCCCATGAAGCTGCCCAGCGCCAACCAGGAGAGGACACGGCCTGACCCAGATGTGACCCCTGGGAGGACCCCGTGAAGCCAGCAGCAAAGCTGGGGCACCTACCCATGGGGTGACCGTTGATCCACATCCCTCGGTAGATGACTCCGGAGCAGTGGGCCATGCTGCCCTGTCCACTGAACACACCACTGTGCCACTGTCCCTGCAGAGAGAACCATGGGCTCAGGCGGGCTGGGGCCTGAGGACACTTGGCCCTCCAGGTTTCAGGGGCCCCCAGGGACACAGGCTGAGGGGGACCCAATTTGCTCCACACAGTGCCCTCTCCTGTGAATTGGGAGTTTAGGGACAATGGCTCAAATACAAAATGCAAACAAAATACGGCTCCAAATATTTTACAGCACAAAACACTTTTAGTACAAAGATGCTGCGTTTGTGTAGAGGCTCACAGGAGGCCTGTGGGGTGGGGGAGCTGAGTGCTCTGGCTCATTCCTTGATGATGAAAGGGCCAATTAAAAGCTCAGCGTGAACCCGCACAGCCCACCTGGGCAATGCCGGCTCATGCACACCGCAGCCCCGCTGCCCCATAACAAACCTGCTTTGTAACCAATATACACGACAGAGTGGAAGAAGGATGGAAAATAGCAGAAAGATTATTTTCATGGAAAGTTCAAGATCTTAATGGTGTTTTACTGACTATGAATTGCTCCTGTTAGAAGAATCAGCCCAAGGCATGTTTGGTGCAGAAGCTGACTGGGCTCCCACTTTTGTGGCCTGCCCTTCGAGGCCCCAAGGTCACCCAGCAGCTGGGCCCTGCAGCAGGCACCCTTGGCCCCTGGGACAGACCATTAGGTGGGAACGGCCCCTGAAGGCTGCAGCCCTAAAGAGCTCAGATGCCCCCAGACCTGGGGGATGAGGTTCCAAGGCTGTTTGGAGCTAGTAGCCACTGCGATCTCACTGTGAGTTGATGGGAAGGGCGTGGCCAAGGCTCACCCTCCAGTTGGGGTGTCGGGCAACTGTGGTGCCCAGTAGGTCAGCCCATGGCTTCAGGAGGAGCCATGCAACCGGTTGGGTGGAGGGTGGGCAGAGGTCTGGCTCTCCTGGAGCTGAGGGGCAGTCTCGTCCCTTCAGCCCCCATACCCAGAGGGCAGAGCCAGCCAGATAGTGGCTGGGGCCTTCCCAAGACTCCCGTGGGCCGCATTCCCAGAAAGCTCAGGGCTGGCTCGATGACCTGACAGATGTTATATTGCATTCCTTAAGATGCAGCTCACATCTGCAGGTAGCTGGCCAGGCTAAAGTGGGGGCGATGCCTCAGGCATCACGGCAGGTGGGGACTGCAACCAGCACGGAGGCCCTTGCTACCATCCGGGCTAGGGGTGGAGAGCCCCAGAGTTGCCTGCTGACCATCCCTGGAGATGGCATGGCCTCTGAGGAGCATCTGCTGGGCTTGACGCCAGCTCCTAGGAAAGACCCCTGTGCACACGTGCATGCACTCAGGCTTCTGTGTTGTGAATCTGCGTGCATCATTGTGTCATGCTATGTGTTGGCATGGGTGTGCCTGAACTGGGCTGCTATCCCCCGAGTTGGGGTGGGGACAGCCCTGGGACGGCAGGGTGGCCCCCCAGGCACGTGGGGCAGGGTAACGTGGGCACCAGACCTTTCCCCTGCTCGAGCCCCAGCAGTCTGTTGGCTGGGGGCAGCGGTGACGCTCGTGGGTGAAGAAGTCACTGGGACGCTCTGCTCGCCTCGCTCAGGACACCGTCCCCAGACCTGACAGGTCACCAGCTTGCACTTGGGAAGCAGGACCCCTGGCCAGTCAGACGGAGACCTCTCATGAGCCAGGCTGAACTTGTTGCCCTCGCCCCGCCCCCTCAGCCCTTCTGCTTTGACTTCCGTGCCCTCTTCTGTGGCTCCGCGCTGGGGAACAGAAGCCACCCTGGCTCAGGCCCCAGGCTTGGGCTCAGCAGATGGTCTAACGGGATGCACTCTGGCCTATGGCTCTGGGAAGGGTGGCCGACTTCACAAAGCCCTCCTGCGGGGCTGCACTGTCCTTCGCCTCCACGTTTCTGTAGCAGGGGCTGCACTCACTTTGTGTCGGGGTGAGTGCTGTCTGCCTGGGTTGCCGCAGGCCTCATCCTTGTCCCTCTCAGTGGTGCTGGGGTCACCTCCCCTCCCCCCGCCCCACTGGGCTGGACGCCAGACCCCCAGAGTCAGGCCACATGCCGAGGATGTCCAGGGGCAGGTGGGAGGCTGGGAGTCCAGGCGTAGAAAGCGGGAGTTAAGTGTGCATGGCCCTTCCCCAGTGCGACCACCTGGGCCTCCCCTCCGAAGGTCTCCATCACATGACCCCAAATCTTACTGCCACAGGAGGCCAAGCCCTGTGCCCATCTGCCCTTCCCTTCCCTCCCCATCGTGGCCATGGCCTGTCTGGTCAGGACATGAGCATCCTGGTGGCAGGGATCACACTTCCCTCAGAAGCCTCCTGAGACAATCAGGACAGGGATGCACTCATGCTGACACTTTGACAGTGCTCTGGACCCAGGGCCACTCAATTATGTCGGGGTTGGGGGGTGGAGGGTTGAGATGAGATGTGGGTTTTCACAAGTATGAAGGCAGAGCCTTGGGCTCAGCCAGAAGCAGATGCAGACAAATCCAGCACGCAGCACCTTGGAGGGCGGCCGGGGGCACACAGACTGCCAAGCAGACGGAATGTGAACCTGCACATCAGACCAGGAGCCCTCCACCGGGTGTAGCAGGATCAGCTCCCTGTGAGGTCTCTGTCCAGTGCTCGCTGTCTACTTGTCACCGGGGTCCTTCCTGACCCCTGACCAGCCATTAATCACACTCCTGGAATCTGGGCCCCTCTCCTTTCCCACCAGCTTAGGCTTTGACAAAGAACTCACCTGGGACAGAAAGACCCCAGCAAGGTAACTAATGCAACAGTGTAGAATCTAACTACTGTTACAAATCATGCCTTTGAAAATTCTGCCCTTTCTCAATCAGCCAACATGCTCCCAAGCAGGAACAAACATGGGTTAACCCATCTTACAGAGAGGAGGCCAGCCCCCACTGCCCCCGGTCCAGGTGAGGACCCGTGCCTGCTAGCGAGGGGCAGGGAGGAAGTGAGGATGACAGGGCCACACGGGGCTCCGTTCACACCACACTTAAAGCCAGAAGGGCATGGGGCCCCTGTTAGGACACAGGAGGGGACGGGGGTCCCTGTTAGGACATGGAAGGAGGGCCATAGGGGTCCTGTTGGGACATGGAAGGAGGGCACGGAGGGTCCCATTAGGACACAGGAGGGGACAGGGGACACAGAAGGAGATGGTCACCAGGGGTAAGTGAGCCACACCTTGTGGCAGATGGTTGCTGGGAGGGCCTCTCAGCTGCAGAATGGGGATGTACATGTTCATAACTCCTTCCCTGGCCTTTTACTTGAGGAGCTGAGTCCCCTTCTCCTGCCTTCAATCTTTCCCAGCATCAGGGTCTTTTCAAATGAGTCAGTTCTTCCCATCAGGTGGCAAAGTATTGGGAGTTTCAGCTTTAGCATCAGTCCTTTCAATGAATATTCAGGACTGATTTCTTTTAGGATGTATTGGTTTGATCTCCTTGCTGTGCAAGGGACTCTCAAGAGTCTTCTCTAACACCACAGTTCTAGCAAGGAGAGATAAGAAAGTCTTCCATTCTCCAGTTAACTGATGCTACTTTTCCTTCCCGGGGAAAGTGCTGGTGGTTTTCCTAGAATTGTTTTTGTGGTTGTGTTGTCCCCTCTTGCATTGTTGGCACTCGCAGGCACACTCTGAATCTCTGCCCTGGTCAGAAGGCCACCTTCCTGGGTCTTCAGTCTCTTCTTCACCTCCAGGTCTCCCCAGGGCACTGGGGTCTTGATGACACACCAGAGGGTCCAGCTCTGCAACGCCTGCCTAAATGGCATCTGCAGTCTGGAGCAGGCAGCCCCCACCATCACCAAACTCACTCCTGGAGCAGGTGGTGGCTTTCCTGAGGCCTTGGCTCCTGGACCAGGCAGGGGCGTGGCCCTAGTCACCTGCCTGAGCCTGACTGTAGGGGCCAGGGTCTCCAGATTTCGAGGTGGCCTGCTGGGGCCACAGTGACCATGCAGGCCAGTGTTGGTGGCCCTGCCTGTCAGTCTCAGCAGACACAAGGCCCCTCACTTTCCTAAGGCATCGCCTTTGGCCACCACGATCCTGGTCAAAAGTTCCTCAGGTTTCAAAGTATGACAAGTTATGCTTATGCAAAAACAAGCTGCCTCTGTGGGTCCATCTGCGTCTACCCTCCTCACCCGGGCCTGCAGGGTGGTGCGGGTTCCACTCTGGCAGCCCAGGCCCCTCCTCTGGCGATGCTACAACTGGCTGATACCTCCCATGGTGCTCCTGGGGTGAGGGCCCCCATTCCTAGACTGACCTCTGGCTGGGCACTCAGGACTTTGGCATTCCTGTGGATGCACAGGTGAAAAGCAGGTGAGGATGCGCACAAGGCCACCACCTGCTCTGTGCAGTGAACAGGTGCACCGACCAGCAGGCTTCCCTCCAGGAAAGCCAACACGAGAAATGCAGCCAACATGCATGGAGGTGCCCCGGGGACGGATGGAAGCTGGCGGAACCATGTGCTACTGTTGCACAGGGAGAAATGGTCCATGTGCACCCAAGGCCGAGCCTCAGTGGACAGCAAGCCTACGTCCCCTCTGCCTGGCATGTGCTCACCTCCATGGCCAATGGTCGTTCCCTGCGCTCACACAGGCGGCTCCAAGGACGCCACTCTCCCAGGGGCTGCCTGGTGCTCCGGGGGGTCACCAGCCCATGCCACATCCTCAGGAGGAGCGATGAGCTTGCCGCTGCTGGGCATGTGTGTCCCCACCTCCCTTGGCAGGGGAGCAGCACAGACAGTCTGGCACATGCCAGAGACACCCTCAGGCCCCAGGATGCACCAGATGACCTGGCTGCTGCAAACTATGGCCACCTAGCCTGACTGCCTGCCCAGCCCCACTGCAAGGCAGTGGGAGTCAGTTTGGGTTTGGGATTCATTGTTCTTACAACAGAAGCAGCTTTATTGCATTGATTTTCAGGGATAAAATTTTTCTAGAATTAATTTTTTTAAAGTTTCCCTGAGAAGCTCGGCTTTAGGAGGCACTGGGGACAAGGCAGCAGGGGCCCTTGTGCAGTGACGCCAGGGCTCTGGCTGCCCTTCTCCTGGGCTTTCCTGCTCTCCACACTGGATGTTTTCCCATTGGATGGGTTGGGCTGCTGGAAGAGAGGCAGGGGCAGGGAACTCAGGGCGGGCGGTGGAGGGGGGGCAGTGCACCTCTGACACAAAAACACTCACAGAAGACAAACCGTCTGTCTTCTGGAAAATCAAATCACTTCAGGAGAGATAAAGAGCAGTACACTGGGGGGTCTGCAGTGAGGAGAGCCCAGAATGGCTTTCTGGAGCAATGGGGTGCTGGGCAGGGTGCAGTCCGAGGAGGCCCGGGCCTCACTTTGGGGCAAAGATTCTGAGGGTGGAAGTCAAAAGGTGGAGGAACCCCCACCAAACACAAGAGGCATCTCACACATCCCTAGATAATAAGCATGTGCTTCAAGCGGGGAACAGCTGTACCTGGGGCCGGCCTCAGGATATACCCCAGAGAGGGGAGAGCAGGGAGTCCCCCAGAAGGTTTGACAGAGGCCAGACAGCCAAGCAGAGGCCACAGCTGCAGTGGACGAGGCTCACCTCCCGATCACCTTATTGTTGGGCTGACAGCCGGCACCCGGGTTGTTTAGAAAACAGAAAACACAAGCGTCGAGAGGATGTGGGGGAACTGGAACACTGGCGCTGCCAATGGGGATGGAAAATGATGTGGAGTCTCCTCTAAAAGTTACAAATAGAATCACCATGTGACCCAGCAGGTGCACTGTTCTCAGGGAAGTCGGGAGCAGGACAGGCTGACAGCAGCGTCACTCACAGGATGATGCCAAGGCCCGGACAGGCTGGGTGTCCATCAATGGACGAGCGGCAGGACGCGTTGTGGAAGGGTCATCTGTGCGATGGAGCAGGGCCCAGTCTCAAACAGGGAGGAAGTCCTAACACCTGCTCCAATGTGGATGGACCTTAGGACATGATGCTGAGTGAGACAAACCCGGGGACAAATCCTATGTGATCCCAGTTCTCTGAGGTCCCTGGAGCAGTCAGAGTCACAGACTCTGGAGGGTAGGGGTGGAGCTTCAGTTTGGGAAGAGAAGAAAGTCCTAGAGATGATGGTGGGGGTGGCTGCCCAACGTCAATGGGCCCGATGCCACTGAGCTGTGTGCTGAATTAAAATGATAAATTTTATGTTATTTGTACTTTACAATAAAATTTAAAAATAGAAAGCTGTCTGCCTAGTGACAGCCTGGGGATAGCTGTGCCCTCACGGGAGATGCGCCAACTCCCTGTGGCGGGTCCGCCTCTGCCGGGTGACCCCTCACGCCCAGAGGTCAGACCAGCAGGCAGCCCTACAGCTCAGAAGTGGGCACTGAGACCCGGAGCCCATGTCTATGCGGCTCTGTCCTCCCACCAGCCCTGAACCTGCAACCCTGAGTGAGTGGGCCTGGCCTGTGTCCAGGGTGTCAGGAAGCCATTTGGCAAAGATGGCCTGAGGGCCTGGGGGATTTGAGGGCCTGGGTGTCTGCCCCAGGTGGGGGCTGTGACCATGGTGGGGGTTGGGAGGGAAGGTGGCACTTCCTGACCATTCAGGTGCTCAGGGCCTAGATGGAGGGCAGGTCATCAGAGCACAAGGCCCTGAGGCTGGGAACTGCTAAACAATGGGAACACAGGCGGACAGTTCAAATCCTGGAGAAGGACTCTTGCTCACCTGTAAAGCGCCTAGGGGTGGAGGGGTGGGGATGGGGCTGCCGCCCGCTGGTGCTCTACCCTTTCCAGCTGACATCCAGCCCAGAGCCCAGCTCCGCACTGGAGAAGCCCCCATGGGGACAGCGGCTGGCAGGGCTGGGCTGCCCCCTGGTGGAGGGCAGTGGGGTGGACAGCTGAACTGAGACCTGCAAGGGAGGCAGAGAGGGGGAACCCAGGATGGTCCTGGAGGCACCCGCAGAGTCTCTGGGGGCAGGGCACGTGGGGTGGAGGTGGGGGCGAAGTCTTATGGGGCTCTCCGGGAGAAGGTGGGGTCTCTGCCACCCTCTGGTAGTGAGGCCTCCTCGTCTCTGAGTTGGGTTGGGAGAGTCAGCGAGGCCCTGAGGACAGTGTGGGGTGCTGTGATCCCTTGGTCGCCAGAGGTGTAGACGCTGTGGGGGTTCTCTGGGCCCCCTTGTGTTTCTTCCACAGAAACTCTGCAGAATTCAGGCTGTGGCTGCCCAGGGGGAGCCCTAAAGGGCTCCATGAGGATAGACAGACATCCCCCTGGGGAGAAGAGACAAAGCTGTGGCTGGGTCACAGTGGCCTCTGCAAATAGGCTCCAGTGCAGACTGTCAACCGCAGCAGCCCAGGCACCAGCCAGCAGCAGCGTGGACACAACATCCCGGGAGCAGCCAGCAGCTGGACCAGGGCCCGGGAGGTGGTAGTACCTGAGCAGAGCGCTATTTTACCAGCACGTCAGGGAGCATGCTGGGGGGAGCTTTGCGGACAGGGCAGGACTCTACGATCCCCATCAGGCCACTCCATCTCAGGAAGGGCCCCAGTCAGTTACCAGTTTACCACCTCTCAGCCCCAAATCCACCCTTCTCGCCCACTCTGTGCTTTGGGAGACTCTGAAACATGTCCCTTCACCGGCTGGTGCCATCCTGGGCAAGCACTGCAGGGACGCTGGGGTAAGGGTCTTCCCTTGGGCTCCAGCGTGCCCTCTCCTGACCCCTCAGGCTCAGCGGTTTGTGCTCGGTGAGCTCCTCTGCGTCCCAGGTTTCCTGCACACATGCCTGGTGCCCTGGGCAGCTCCCCAACCTGGTGGGCTGTGGCCGCAGCCTGCCTGCGTCTCCAAAGGCTTTCCCTTGTGTCCTGGGACTTCCTTTCCAAACTTTGCTCTAACTTTCACATGAGAAAATTGGCAAAGATGTGAAATTCAATTGACAGCCTAATCCTGCAACCCACATGATCAAATTCTATTTGAGCCCCGAGACTATGAGACAGGAGGGCCTCTTGGGGCTGCAGTGGAGTTGAACACAGACCTGAGCTCACATCATCTCCCTGAAAGTGTCCAGGACACCAGGGGCCTCATGGCCACTGTCACTCATTCACAGCCATCCTGTCACAGCCAAGCACGATGGCAGCTTGTTCACTCCTAAAGCTGCAGCCACGAGTCACTCACATCTCCAAGGCACTCAGCCCGGTGGTTGGGCCCAAGTATGCAGCCAAGCCAGTCCCAAAACACCATCTTTGGGGGCACTTCCTGGGCCAGGTTCACATTTGCCTTTTCCATATTCCTGCTTCCACCCCTTGCAGTATCTTCTTCCCTTTCACTCGTTAACATTTTCAATTGATGGTGTGGCTCCTGTCTCCTGGTTCAGGTTCAGGCATCACTGCCATCCATCAATGTGGGGACATCCTCACTTCTGCTCTTGTCAAACAGTCCGACATCTTTACCTCCAAACCACCCCAAGTTTGGTCCCACACCCCACACTGGTTGCCATCACCTCTTTTCATGACTGAGAAACAGAGAGACCTTTCAAACACAGGAATCAGGCCACCAACTTCTTCCAGCACTTTCCATGATGCTTAGAATAAAACTCCAACCCCTTGTGGCTCCAGGGCCTACACATGAGACTGCCCCGACCTCCCACCTTGTTGCTCCTACACCGCTCAGGCCATGAAGACTTCTTCTTGCCCTGTAGCCCAGTCTCACCCTGCTCTGCCTGCAGTGCCCTTCCATGCTGTCTGCATGCACAGCCTCTCCCATCCTTCAGGCCGGGCTCACATGATACTCTCTGACCCTGTGCATCTCTGCAGAGCTGGAGGGGCTCCTCATCCACCGGGTGGGCTGCTGGGCTGTCCCTGCCAGCCAACCACTACACAGGACACACATCCTGGGCACCAACATCCTGGCTCCCAGCCAGACACAAGGGCTGGAGTCCAGGAAGCACAAGGATGACGGATTCTGGGGATCAAGAAGGTCTTCCCATGTGCCTGCCCCTCTTGGCCTCATGGCACCTGAACCCCATCGACCCGAGAGCAGCAGCTGCCATGATGTGGGGAGGGGGCACAGAGCCCTGTTTGTGAGGAGGGGGAGGGCCTTGCTTGCTTCCCCAGGTCTCTGGCTCACTGGGACTCCCGGGCATGTCCCCTCAAAAAGACATCACCAACTGTTCCCACAGGCGACAGTGTTGGTCACAGGGTAGATCAGGAACCAGATGGATGAAGAGGTGTGAATGGCTGGACCTTAAGTTCCCTGAACCTCAGCCTTCTCATCAGCGAAATGGGAACAGTCCCCTACCCCGCGGGGTCAGAAGGCCAACACCTGGCTGCACCTGGGGGTGCCGAGGGCAGAGGACACTGGCTGGTTGGCCCCCAGTACCTCATAGGTGGAGCCATCCACGAGCCGCAGCATCCCATGGCCCTGGCGCTGGTCCCGGACCCAGTTGCCCTCGTATTCGTCTCCATTCCTGGGGGTAAGCGCAGAGGCTGCTCTCAGGCCGGGAAGGCCAGGTGGCCGCGCTGACGCAGACCGGCTCCCCGGCTGGGCCCCAGCGCATGTCCCCGGGACTGAGGCAAAAATAGGCCCAGAACAGATGGCGTGAGCCACAGCCTTGCCAGGACCTGGCGGAGGGACAGGCAGCCTGGGTGCCCGGCAGGGTGCAGTGACAGGCGGCCCTACTTGCCGGGTCCCAGGTGTGAAGATTGGGGAGGATGGTGGGGAAGGAAGCGCAAAGAGGGAGGGACCCTGCAAATCCCAGGGCAGGATTTTGCATGAAAACTGCCCAGAATTTGGAAGATGCCCAGCCACAGGCCTGAAGGAGAGATCTGGGGGGGGGGGGCGTGCTCTCACCCCACTCTACGCTCCTCCCAACTTCCACCTTCCTACCAGATATTTTATTTGTGGGATGGAGAAGGGAGGTGGAGATTGATATTTTTTCTACTAAACACACATAGAACCAAGTTCAGTAACTGAGAGAGAAATTATAGAATTCCTTCAAGGCACACAGACCCTCCTTTCAGGGCTAGGTGCTTGAGAGGGGATGGCCCGCTGGCCTGTGAACTCACCGGAAGATCATCCGCCCTTGGCCATGACGCTTGTTGTCATGAAACGACCCCCAGTACACTTGTCCGTCTGCGTCCACCAGACACCCGTGTCCTGGAGAAGGAGCCCAGAGCGGAGGTCACCTTGTGCCTCCCTTAGGGGAGGGGATTGTCTGGAGGAAAGCTAGCGTTGGCACCCCTGGGGACTGAGCTGCATGGGGTCCCTCGGCCCCAAGAATGGATCTGGGACAGCTGGGCAGCCACATACAGCATGAGTATCTCTGGGTTCAGTTCTCAAGGTCCTCAGTGAGGGTGGGGGTGCCATTTGAGGGCCACGATCCCCCAGAATAGAGACTGAAATGCTGCTGTCCTGCTCGGGTGGTGCTGCGGGGTAGTCAAGGCCAGCTTGCAGAAGTGAATTCATCCTGAGGATACATGGCCATCCTGGGCCTCCACCATCTACTCAAAGGACCCAGAGACCAGAGAAATCGCCAGCGTAGACACGGTGTCTCAGGATCTGGACACTCAGGGAGGGGAGAACATCCAGACTCCATGGGGAGGCCTTGGAGGAGGCAAGGCCTTTTTCAGGGTGTGGGCTGTTGGGGGAGTAGCCACTCCCCTCACTCACACTGGCCTCCCACCAATGTGGCCTCCTGACCAGCATTGATCCCCACCATGGTGGCCTCCTGACTGGCGATGTTCCCCTCCATGTGGCCTACTGACTCACGCTGTCCGCCCTTCCCAACACGTGGCCTCCTGACTGGCTCGGCCTGGCAAGATGTGGAGATGACAAATGAGTGGAGGATCAGGAGGGGCCATCAGCCTCTCGTCCCAGGAGACCCACAGCCCTGCTCAAGGGCTGCGACCCTCCACGAGGCCAGAAGACCTGCCCAGCTGAGCCCAGACCAGCCCAGGATTGAGTGCAAGGACAGAACGGGGACCTGAGTCACCAGATCTGGGTGGCTTGCTGTAAACCCCTTACTCTGAACCTCAGTGGATGGGGGAGCATGCTGGTGTCGGACTGTCCAGGCCCTGAGTCAGAATCCCAGGAGGGCTAGGTCTAGGCCCCGCAGTGCTTGCCCCACAGCCCATACCCTGCACCTTCCTGCGGACACCCCACCTTCTCTCAGGCCGTGGAAGAGCTCCCCTTCATAATGTCCGCCAGCTTGGTACTTCATGACGCCGTGTCCCTGGGGCTCTCCCAGAACAAACTGTCCAGTGTAGGTGTTCCCTGGATGGGAGGTGGGAAGCCGTGTCTAGGGTTAGAGCCGCTTCCTCAGTTCCTCAGGGTGATGATTACCCAGTTCTCACTTGACTCCTGGGCAGCAGTGGTCACAGTGCAGGGTATACGTTTATCTCACAGCTCACGCTGGTGGACAAGGGAGATGGGACAGAGTGGGTATGGTCCCATTACCTACGATCCTCTCCCTCTCTCCTAGGGACCCTCTCGGGTCTGTATGCCTGGAACAGAGGCCCCTCCAGGCCAGAGTCTGTGGGGTAACACTTCTCTCCACCAAAAATCCACTTCACGCTTACCCGTGAGGGTCTGAGGTCCTGCAGGCAGCACTGGGGCTGTCCCGCCCCAGGCTGGCACAAGGCTGCTACGAGACACCTTTGGGTCTCAGGGGTCCTCAGGTTCTGGACATAAGTGCCTTCTGCATCCAGAAAGGAGGGGGCAGCTCACACCAGGGTGGGTTCAGGAGGAAGGGCTGGAAAGCTGACCTGTCAGTGCCCAGTGCTGACAACCCTCTCCTGTGATCTCTCCGTCCACAAAGTCGCCTTCGTAGTAACTCCCATCTTTAAACAGCAGCTTCCCTCGACCTGGTGAAAGACATCTTGATGTCAGGCTGTGGCTGGGAGTGACCGCTGGGGCCTGTGTGTGGCTGGGCTCATTTCTCAGGGAGAAGAGCAGGTCGCAAGGTCTTTGTATTTGCTTCTGTCCGGGCCATCAAAAGCTCAGGGATCCTGCCTCCAGATCTCCTCAGAGGGCACTTGATGGCCACCTTGCCTCTGTCAGCGCAGGTACAGAGGGACGTTGGTGGGGGGGTGGGGAGACAGAAAGAGAAAGGGCGAGAGAGAGAAAAGCATGGGGTGACACTGAAAACTACATTTTTAAAAGAAGGGACCACTTTGTCCGGGTCAGGAAGAGACTCACAGATTTCAGCACAAAAGGGAGAAACACCCGTGTGGCAAAAACACTCCCATAAAAGTCAAAAGTCTCAAAATATACTGGTAGCCAACTGATAAACAAATAGTTCATGAGAAAATACTGGAAGATCAATCCTCTGGCAGAACAACAGGCAGAGGCTTTGAGCAGACAGAACCCCAAATGGGCATAAAACTGTGATGGTAAACTTTGGAAAGTCCAGGTCTGCCTCTGGGGTGGACGCCAAGGGACTCTCGCTTGCTACTTGCTCTCCTTGCTATTTAGATTTTTTTTACAAAAATGGTCAGGCTCTTCATATTCAAGGAAAAAATAAAGACAGTTTTCATCAGTACCGAGGCGGCTGTCTGGGTCCCCCACTCTGCAGGAGATGGCCCCTCATGGGTACGAGTGAGGGCCTGGTGTGGCGGGCACTCATATGGCCCCAGCTCCTCTGGGACGTGTGCTGTCAGTGGAATGGCTACAGCAAGAGCCCATAGCCTGTCCTTACCGTGTTTCTTGCCTCCTCTCCATTCTCCTTCATACCGAAAGAAAGAATTTGGATAAACGTAGACCCCATAACCTGAAGGTTGAAAGGACACCCAGGTGAGCACCAGGTACAGATGACGTGGCTGACGACCAGCACGCACATTCCAGGTGTCTGTCTTGACCTCTTAGTGAGCCTCACCCCACTGCTCCCAAAGGCTGTTTGGGTCACAGCTCTCCCTGTTCATCCGTTTATACAGCAGACATGCTGGGCGCCCAACCCGTGCAGAGGCGCCCGCCCCGCCAACCTGGGTCTGGGGAGGTCCTCAGTCCCTCCCGACTGGGTCTCCAGGCCCCAGCCGGTTCTGCTATTCGGGGCCTGGGACCCCGCCCATACCATGGGCACCCAGACACCTGAGTTGGGGACGACAAAGCTCCCAGGGGTGCGAGCTGGGTTCGTAGTGAAGGTGCGGGAATGCTCAGCGAGTGCCCGGACCTGTCCGCCTCCCTCCCTTCCCGACGGAGGCCCTGTAGTGTAGTCGGCCGTTACCGTCCCGCGGTGGCCTCCCAAGAAGCTCCCGGCGCAGCCTGCAGGTGGTCGCGCGCCCCTCACTGGCGGACGCCATCTTGCCGCTAGAGGTTTCCATTAGCAACCGCATAGTTCTTCTCTACTGGCTGGTTGGTTGTGAGGGGGCGTGGCCTCTAGTCAGTCCTTGGGCGTTACCAAATTCTGGAGCTGAACTATCTGGGCCGGGAGCCAGAGGACCCGAATGCGCTTGCGCAGCACGGCGAATTTCCGCCGCTTACGTCTCTTCCGCCGACGTGACAGCCCAGCCAACGGCCTGGGCGCTCGCACAGGAAGCGGAAATGGTTGGAGGCTCTCGGCCCCGCCTCGGCGGCCATCTTGGAAGCCCGGGAGGCGGTGCCGCGCAGGACTGAGCGGAAGTGCTCGGTCGCCCCTTCCCGGACCTAGCGAAACGCCGGCGCGGCAGCCACCCGCGTCCTCCTTCCCGCGGCCCCCGGGAGACCGCGCTCGGCCGCAGTGGACCGCGAGGTGCTGGCGGGCGGGGCGGGTCAGGAGGGCGCCATGGTCCTGAGGGGCGCGCGTGAGGCTGGGGCCGGGCCGGACCCCAGGGGTCGCCGCGGTGACCGGCCCCAGTCCCCTGGTAGCGCGTCCTGGGAGGGGTCGGCTGCCTGCCCGGGGCCGTGGGACTTCGGTGTCCTCGCCGATCCAGGGTGGCGTGCGGGATTTGGGTAGGAAACGCCGCGGTGGACTTGGGTCTCTCGGGGTCGAGTCCTGGCCCTTCTGCAAACCGAAGCTCCCGAGCGCTCGGGCTGACCCGCCCGACGGCGCCCCGCCTGTCCCACAGCTGCCTCCGGAAACCTGCCCCAGGCACCTGGGCCTGGGAGCGTCCCGGGGCGCCTGCTACTTGGTCGGGTTGGTCTCACTCCTGGAGATGTGTAAGGTGGAGCACTCCTCGTAGGTGAATATAGGGCCCCCAGGTCTTGGTGGTGCAGGTGTGGTGGAGACGGGAAGGTGGTCATGCCCAGGGAAAGGAGCCGGCCGTGAGCCCTGGCCGAGCACTCGGGTGGATGAGGTCTGGAAGGGTTTTTCAGCGAAGGGAACAGCATCGGAGAATGAAAGTGTGGGAAATTACCAGGCTCGGGACCCAGGGGAAAGGGTCGGGGGAATGAGGGGAGACATAGAGGGTGCCAGGCAGGACTGTCCTCTGTGTGGGATGCGTCTGTGTGGGGACAGCTTCACAGACAGGTGCAGTGATGACTCTGGTACTCTGCACACAAACCCGCAGAAGTGATACTCCTGGTCTCTGAAACAGTTTGATCTTGGCTTTTTCTTTGTTTTCTTTGTGGCTGAGCCTTAGTCAGTGACATCCGACAGAGAACTTAAGCCACTGCTAGCTCTGTCCCGGGCCTGGTGGATATCGGGACCGGCAGCGGAGGGACAAGGCTCCCTCTCCAGGAGCTTGCATTCTAGTAGGAGGAAATAGAGAAATAAGGCAGAAAGCAGTCAGAAGTGATTGTCCCACAAAATAGAACAGGGTGATGTGATCTGAGTGACAGGCGCCAGTTGGACAGTCATGGACGGCCTCTTTGAGGAGGTGGCCTTGGAACTGCAGGGGACTACAGACAGCCCAGCTGTGTGAGGGCCACCCTGATTGGAAACAAGTCCGAACAAGGCCAGCTTGCGGCCTTCGTCCCCAGAGCTCTTCCTGGTTAGAACTGGGCCCTACACTGGTTCTAACAAGGCTGGCTGCTGACTCCCCACCAAAGGCCTGGGAGGGGGTGCTGAGATGCTGTGGCCCTGTTTCACAGAGTGGAGTGGGGAGGGCCACAGTGGCCTGTGAGTCACGCCATAGACAGGCCATTTGATCCAAAGTTCACCTTCTTAATGTTGATGGGAGTTCAGCCAAATTGTGGAGTTATGTTAATGTATATGTCTTATGTCAGGTAATCTGAAGTTGGTCAACATGTCATGGGAAGATCTTTCACACGTTTAGTTAAGAGAACGAGATTTAGAAGGGGTTGTCTCTGTGTAGGGCGTACTTTAGAGGAATAGCAGGTGTTTCTCTAATGTTAATTTTAATAACCTCAATTCAAGTAAAGGCATTTAAATGGTAGACACTTTGGTCATAAAAAAGTAAAACAGGGAAAAATTTGTATGGAATTGTAGGATAAATGATGTTACTGATGTGGTTTTCTTCTGGCCTGACTTTGGTCTAAATAGGGTGACTGGCCTTCTCTAATTTAGCCCTTTTGAAAATAGGAAAATTTTCCCAGTTGAATATAGAGGCAAACTTCCCCAAAAGACAGGGCTAGGAGCCACAGTTCACCTGTTCAGTTAACTGCGGCTCACAGGAAAGCAGAGGGCATTTCTGGGTCTCCTTGGCACTCTGCCCCTCCACTGTGGGGCTCCAGGAAATGGTGCTACAGAATCAGAGTAGACATTCTAGCACAGATGTGCTGGTGCTTGTGGGACTGCTCAGGTTATCTTCATATCAAAGTTGTACTGTTGACCCTTGAACAATATGGGTTTGGACTGCATGGGTCCAGTCTCATGTGGATTTTTTTCATGAGAAAGTACCGTAGTACTGCACGATCTGCGATTGGTTGAACTGCAGGTCCAGAGACTGACTCTAAAGTTATACTTGGATCATTGACTGCTGGGGCCGATGCCCCTGCATTTGTTCAAGGACCCACTGCAATTGGTACTGTGTTCCATCTGGGATCTAGGATTATGTTGTGAGCCTGCTAACTAGCGGGTGCATGCAGGAAGAATGTGCAGATCCAGGCTTCAGCCTGGCCATGAACAGGCCAAGCAAGGGGGTGGCTTAGGCCGTTGGAAGCCTCAGGTGTCTGCCCAAGTGGGAAGGGCTGCTCTGCCAGCAGGCGCCGCCTTCCAGATGAGGGATGGCGGCCTCACGATCATGCCACTCAAGGGTGGTGAAACAGACTCCATGTTGGAGTCCACTTCTGGTCCCCAGCCCTGCCATGGTGCCACATGCAGGAGGAAGCCGCCCGTGGTATGGGGGCAGCGAGAGCTTGGCCCCAGCATCTTCACCAGGTTTAGACTGGCGTGGCCTTCTGCCCTCTGCGTCCTTTTTGTTCTGCGGTTCAGATGGGGCCCATGCTGGGCTGCAAGAGCCAAGGCCAGAGCTGCTCTTGACTTTGAGCAAGTGGCCTGGACTGTCTGAGGCTGATGTGCTGCTGTGGCCTAGGGGTGATGGTGCCCACCCTTCTCTTGGCGATCTGGGCTCTCATGTGCTGAGTCCTCACGGAGTCACGCGGCTGGACGAAGTAGTCAGGAGCAGATAGGGTTACCTGCACGCACAGATAAGGAACTGGGGTGCAGACAGACTACTACTGGGAATCCTGGCCATGGAGTGGGGACCTGGTCTGGACAGGGCCTGGCACCGTGGGGAGCGGTCTGGACAGAGACCAGGTGGGGCCTAGAGAAGGGGGGCCACTTGGGAGCCTGTGGAGCGGCAGGAGGAGATGCTGGCAGTGGGTGAGTCTGGAGAGCCCTGGGGAGGTGGGCGTAGCCGCCTGTGCTGAAGACTGGCCCCAGGGAAGTGGACACAAATGTGTCCACAGGACTTTGCAGCCAGCGGGGCACCCTGGGACTGGTGGGAGGAGTGTGAGCAGGTGACAGGAGCGGAAATGAAAGTCCACCGGTGCTGCTTTGCATGTCACGTGGCCTCCTGGCTCTCCACCAGAGCATGTCGCTGGCTTTTTTCTCTTTCCTGGATGACTCGTGGTAAAGACACAGGCCGGAAGCCTCGGTGTGTGTGAAATAGTGAATACTGGAAAAACCTGCTCAATGGTGTTGATGGAAATAGGGCAAGGTGATTAGGTCCTTGAATGCTGTGTATTTAATATAAAAGTGTTTGTGTTTTTCTTGTTTACAGAATGTCTGAAGGTGACAGTGTGGGAGATTCTGTCCATGGGAAGCCGTCTGTGGTCTACAGATTTTTCACACGACTTGGACAGGTTGGTTTTGGGTTGCAGAGCTGTATACACATTTAAGGAGAAGGCAGTGGCAACTCATTCCAGTATTCTTGCCTGGAAAATCCCATGGACAGAGGAGCCTGGTAGGCTGCAGTCCATGGGGTCACTAGGAGTCAGACACGACTTCACTTTCACTTTCATGCATTGGAGAAAGAAATGGCAACCCGCTCCAGTATTCTTGCCTGGAGAATCTCAGGGACAGGGGAGCCTGGTGGGCTGCCATCTATGGGGTCACACTGAGTCCTATAGGACTGAAGCAACTTAGCAGCAGTATACACATTTAAATGAGACTTGACCCTGGGGCATTTCCCTGTGGAGCGTAAGTGTGCTGGCAGTCCCCCTGGGCGGGGGACAACTCCCTCAGTCTCATGCTTACACTCAGGCATCTTGCCTTGTTATTGTGAGGATGCTGGGTCTCCTGTGGTTCAGACCACATACTTGTCTTCTGTGTTTTTTCAACAACTCTGAAAATGTGAAAACCTTGATTCTTAGCAGACACGGCTGCCCTGCCTCTGCTCCACTGTCCCCTTGCTTAGCTACCCACATCCACCCTCGCCCACGTCTCCTCAACCTCCTGCCTCCAGGTCCGTGCTCCACCACGGGACCACCCCTCAGACCACAGCAAGGCCTGTGAGTGTTTGTCTTGGAGAAAGAAGTCTGACTTGGTAGAGAATCGTACAGACTGACATAGGGCTCAGAACTAAAACCGTGTTGACTTCTAAAAGAAAAAAGCATCTGGAAAACTTGATAATTATTGAAGCCAGGTCATGGGCCTCTGTGGCTCATATTCTCTCTTATGAATGACTAAAATTTTTCATAATTAGAATTTCAAAGTGGAAATTAATTTCAAATTAAAATGAGAACACAGACATGTATATTAGTTAAACATACAGATGTACACACGTATGTAGACATGTGTGCACATATGTGAATCTAGGAATTTGGCCATCTGCTCTGCAGCTGTATCCATTCCCTGCCCCCTGCCCCCCCACTGCTGGGTGGGCGGGACCGGCTCCAGGGTAAGTGGCTATGAGACGGGGACCTGCCGCTGAGTCCCAGGTGTGGAATGGTAACATTCCCGTCTCTGCTGTCCTCTCTGTCTCCCCACAATGGCCCCTTGGGCCGATGCTGTGGGACCATCGACTGTGAGAGACAGATCCGTAATTATCTTTGATTAAAGGACAAGTGCATCTCCAGAACTGTTGCAAGTAACTTTTGGATTAATTGTAGTCACCGCTTGGTGCAAAGGTCAGCAACAGGCGTGCTGCGCAGCGGGAACTGCAGGGCAGCCGTAACATAGGCTGTTATCTCTTCTAGATCTACCAGTCCTGGCTGGACAAGTCTACACCACACACGGCCGTGAGATGGGTGGTGACGCTGGGCCTGAGCTTCATCTACATGATCCGCGTTTACCTGCTGCAGGTCGGTGGGGCGGGACCTGGCCTGGTGTGCAGGTGGGAGGGTTGTTTCTTCTTCTGTCTCTGGGGTAGAAATGTCCTGGTCTGCTCAGGGGACTTCCTGGCGCCCCTTGGGTGAGCCTCCTGGGGACTGGGGACAAAATCACCTTCTGTATTGGCCACCTTATTCCCTGAGTGCGTGAGACAGGCTGGTGTCTGAGGAGGACCAGATAAGGTGACTGAGGACTCTCCCTGAGGGGACAGGCATCCTTTCTGACCTCTGCTGACTGCCTGGGTCCCAGGTGGGAGTCCCTGTGGACCCTGAGAACAGGGAGGCTCAGGCCTCATCCAGAGCTTTTTTCCCTGGGCAGGACAACTGTTTCCTCCATGAGAGCAGACCCATCCTCCTGGGTGTCTCCCAGGTTTAGAAGGATGTGGGTGTGAGGACAGGTACTTCACCCACTGGATACTGCCCTGCGTCCAGCCCTGGGGGAAACTCTCCCCTCAGCTGAGTGTAGAGACTCATCCTTGGTGGTGGTGTTTGTGTCTGTGTTTCCGAGAGGAAGCCTAACCCTGGCTTAATACAAAGGTGGCAGGCATGGTGCAGCTCTGTAGCAGGCACAGTTTGTGTCGGCAGTCTACAATTAATGTTTGCTGTGATTGGGTCTAGGTGTTCTTAAGAAATTGGACCTTGGTCCAATCTTCATGGAAAGAGTGACCTCGAAACCTTGAATTGGGGGATTTGGGCAGGATGTGGGTGCATTTCATACAGGCTAGTTTCCCAGGTTAGACTCACCAAGTGCCTGATTTGACATCCCTCCAGCCTCAGCCCTGCCACCAGGAGTTGGGTAAACACTCAGCTGTTAATTTTTCACATCTAGGATTTTGTTGTCTCACTTGAACATTTTTTAAGGTATCAGGACATCAAATGCAAGCATGACAGATCTCAGTTGGTCTGTGTGAAAATGTTTGGGCTTTTAGAATTGGTCATGCAGTGCAGTTCTGGTTCTGACTGGATAAGCTCACTCCTTTAAGAATGAGCTGAGGGCTTCCCTGGCAGTCCGGTGGTTAGGGCCACCGATGCAGGGGCCCAGGTTCAATCCTTGGTCGGGGAACTAAGCTGCCACATGCCGTGCGGCCAAGAAGCCCAGTGGCAGATGCACCTCCTTCTCTGTGTCTTCTGAGGAAGGTTTTTCTCTGTGATACTCTGTGACTTGTTGGTTTCCTGGGTTCTGGATTTCTTCTGGGCAGAGGTTGTGAGCAGTCCTTGCACAGTGTGTGTGATGCCAGCCACCTGCTGGAAGGAGCTGAACCCTCAGGTCTTGGGCTGGTTTGGGGCCCGTGTCCAGGTTGGGGGCTGCCGGCAAGGACAAACCTGTGACCTGGGTGTGCAGCTTGGGTGTGTGGCTTTGTGAAGCACCCCACATCTGCTGTCTTCCAGGGCTCCGGTGGCTTTAAGTTTTGGGTGCATCTAACTGGACACTGGCTTGTCCATGCTCAGGACCCAAAATGCAGCCTGAGACTTGCTGTCACTGTGGACGCTCACTGCTCTTCTGTCACTTGTTCTGAGCTCACGTCCATGTGGGTTCAGTCCAGATGAGGACTGGGCTTGGGGTGGCCTCACTGACTGTGTCCCTTCTCTTCCAGGGTTGGTACATCGTGACCTATGCCTTGGGAATCTACCACCTGAATCTCTTTATAGCTTTCCTTTCTCCAAAAGTGGACCCTTCGTTAATGGAAGATTCAGGTACAGTGGAGCATGCCTCCTTCGCTGTCTGGGGAGAATTGTGATTTTATATGCTTCACAGAACTGCTGTTTCCCAGAGACATTTGAAATCTCAACTTTGGAGACTGTTCTTTAGGTGTTTAAAATGTACCTGGGACTTCTGTGATCCTAGCAAGTTTGTTTGTAGAAGGACTGGTTAAACCTTTGTTAAACAGTCCCAGGCGGTGGGTGCTTCTTTCTGTGTTTGGCAGATGAGGGAACTGAGCCTTGGGGCTATGTATCCTGTGCGGGGGCGGGATGGGGGGGTAGGGTGGGGTGAGCCGGGGCCTGCCTTCTGGGCAGCTGGCCCAGCCAAGGTCCCTTCTCGCAAAAGCAGGCATCCATACCGCTTGGCGTGGCTCACCGAGGCTGCTGGCCCCTTGATGTCCCAGGACAGTGGGTTGAAAAGTTCTTGGCTCTGGCTGTTCCTGGCATACCTGGGCTAGATGGACGCCTCAGTGCACGCCTACTGGCTAGCTGGGGATGAGGCAGTGCACGACCAGATGCTGAGGCCTTCATTTGGGCTGACGCTGCCATGTTGGTAACACCCGCTACAGTTCCTGTGGAGCCTGTGGGATCCTGCTCGTTGTGGCAGAGACCACTGTCCAGATTGCAGATCGTGACTAGAACCGTGTGTTTTCTTTGTGGAGTATCTGATAGAAATACCAAAGGGAACAACCCTTTCATTTACTGTTGCCAGTTGGGGAATTAGAAAGCAAGAGGCCTGTCTGTAGGCCTCAGTTTCTCCATGTGTCACTGGGGAGGGCACCTTCCCAGGTGGGGTGGGGTGGGATTCCCGGCTCGTGGAGGAGGGCGGCTGTCCCGAGCCTTGCGCCCCCAGAGCCAGCACAGCTCTCGCCTCTGCCTGCTCGTGGCTGTGTGTGCTCATCTCTCCTCTTCCCTTCAGGTCTCAGGTTGTCTGGTTGATGGGTTCCTGAAAATCGGCGTGGGGGTGAATTTTTTACATGATCATTTGAAGTGGTCTTAACAAGAAATTCTCATACAAATCTTCTAAAGCTGTGAATCGGTTTCTAAATCAGTCGAAATCCCCATTTTGTGTTTGGTTAAAGTCTGGGTTAAATGTCAGGGCTGTTGGTTCAAAGCCCTAGGGGAGCTTAGAGCTGTAGGAAGGACGGGACTGCCCGCCTTACCCTGCTGACTCTGTCCTTTCAGACGACGGCCCCTCATTACCCACCAAACAGAACGAGGAGTTCCGACCTTTCATCAGAAGGCTCCCAGAGTTTAAGTTCTGGTGAGTCCCTCATCCCCCGTGTTCCTGCCCCCATGCTCATCTCGCCCCACCCTTGTACCACCCCCCATGCTCCTCCCGGCATGTTCCCCCTTTTCTTGCACATGCTCGTCCTCATGTGCTTGTCCCTCTGTGTCCCCCCCTCCAATGCTCCCCCTCTCCCTGTGCTCCTCCCCCCGTGCTCATCCCCACTTGTGGCTCTGAGCTGGGCATGTGTCTTGGTTCTGGCAAGCTGGCAGCCTAGACTTCTCAGAGAAACACCAGCTCTGGTGTGTTTCCCTGTCTTGGACGTCATCTTACCCATAATGTGAGATGTGCCTGCTGGGCATGGGGGGTCCTAGGGGCCTCCAGGGCCCACCCTGCTCTGGGTTGCAAAGTAACACCATTGTACCTCGAAGCCACAAAAAGGGGGCTGCTTCGGGGTGGAGGGTCCTGAGTAGGTGACTGACTTGGCCTCTGGGGGTACACTGCTCTGCACTGAGGGGACTAGCTCCCTCCCCGCTCAGTCCTTGGATGACCTGGGCACAGGGCAGGTGTTGGTGTGAAGGGGGGTTGACTTGTCTGTAGGCCTCTTGGAGGTGGTCCCGTGTGTGTGATGTAATGATGAGTGTGACAGGGTGGAGATGACCCCACTGGCTGGGGAAGTGGGAGGGTCTGTGAGTGTGTCTGTCCTGTCCTGTCCTTCACCCTGCCCTCCTGGTGCAGGTGCAGCCCCAGTGAGTGCGAAGTGCTGGACCCAGGGCTGCTGGGGGAGGGGTGGGAAGTGGGCAAGGCTGGATCCTGTCTGCCCTCTGGGGTAGCCTTTGCTTGCTAGAAAGGGAGAGCCAGGTGGACTTAAGTAGGGCTGCGACCCTGGAGGGCCCTGAGCTGGAGGGCAGGTGGCCCTGAGGTCTAACTGCACCTGTTTTTTACGGGATGCTGCTTCGTCATTGGGGGACAGCCTGCCGGGCACGTGGGACTTGGACTGGAGGCTTGGGACTAGGTTTCTAGACGTCACCCTGCAGCACACGACATCCCTGTCCAGCTACCAGCCTGAGCAGCATCAGCACCCCCACTGCTCATTTTACGCTTCATGTCTGTCACATGCAGTACGTGACACATGCCACACGTAGCTCCCACCCCGCTTCTGGAGGAGACACCGCCCCTCCCCCAGGGCCGCCTCCTGTACTGACCACTGACCTTCTCTCCTTCCGCAGGCACGCGGCAACCAAGGGCATCCTGGTGGCCATGGTGTGCACCTTCTTTGAGGCCTTCAATGTCCCGGTGTTCTGGCCCATCCTGGTGATGTACTTCATCATGTTGTTCTGTATCACCATGAAGAGGCAGATAAAGGTAAAGCCCAGGTGCTGCTGTGCCGTGAGACAGCATGCCTGGTGTGAGGAGCTCTGAGCCAGGCTTCAGTCTGAGACACTGGGGCTGTGCACACCCTGCACTCTGTGCAGTCTGGTGGGTGTGTGCGCTTGCCACTGGCATGAGTCACAACCGCTGTGTCTGGTCCGTGTACAGGGCTGGGCCCTCAGCACAGCCTCAAGTCACACCGTCAGGTCTGGCGCATCATCCGGGGACAGTCAGGCCCCAGGACGTGCTGTGTGTTGCCAGCATCACCCTAAGCTGTCCTCGGTGACAGGGCGGCTCCGCTTTGTCCTCTTCTCCCCCAATCCCAGATTCCCAGCTCAGTAGCTCTATCTTGTCCTGCACACAGGGTAGGGATTACAAAACCTGTCCCCTACCCTTGGGGTTTTCAGCAGCTCAGCTGGCTTAGCCAGGCTGGGCCCCCTGAGCAGGGGGACAGGGGTGTCTGAGGAGTCCTGGCTTCCCACCTGCACGCAGCAAAGATGGGGCTCAGAGCTGGCGGGGAGGTGGGCCATGGGGAGGCCATGCTGAGACCCGTCTGTCTATCTGTCCCAGCACATGATCAAGTACCGGTACATCCCATTCACGCATGGCAAGAGGACATACAAGGGCAAAGAGGACGCGGGCAAGACATTCGCCAGCTAGACGGCCGCCTGCCGCCTGACGGCGCCTTCTCTTCTCACATACAGTAGTTGAGTACAAGGGAGTTATTTTCTTTCTAAAAAGAAGCTTTGATTATTTGTAACTGAAGTATCAGGTTTTTGAAGAAACTGGCATTTAAACCGAATCGCATTGATTTATTTTCCAGCCGGTCAGGTGTGCAGATGCCGGACTTGTAGTGGAACGCAGGCTGGGGGACAGCCAGGCGGTCTGGGGAGGGCGGGCGGCCGGCCGGCGGTGGGGTCAGGCCCGCGGAGGGATCTAGGATGCCTGATTGCTGCCTCTGAGGACGCCTGCCGCCTGCGTGGAGGATACGCGCCCGTCGGAGGAGCCACTCCCTTAGCTGCGGGTTCTAATGCCAGTTTCCCAGTTCATCTCACGGGAGATGTGTCGAGTTGGCCTCTACCATGATGACTCAAAACTTTGTTCTTAACCACCATGATTGCTTTTGAGGGCCTGGAATTATAAATATATATTTTAATTGTTTGAGATTATTTTGACACCTTTCTTTGATACGTCAAGAGTTGTTTTAAGTGTGTTCTCGGCAGCAGCCCCTTTCAGAGACACCTGGCAGGAGGGCCAGTGCCATGGGCTTTAACACACGGCTTCTTACTTTCTACGGGGAAACAACTTTGACCTGCATGTCAGCTTTTTTGATGTGATAAAAACCAATACTCGTAAACATTTTACTAAGTGACTTTTTAATTCCAACTTTATTAAAGACAATGTCCCTGCTCTCGTGTAGTCTCTATCTAACTAACCCACCACAGCTCCTGCACCATGAGGGCCTGTGGGGTGCCCAGCCGCCCTAGGAGGCAGTCATACTGCCACACCGTTGACTCCCGGCTCCAAGCGCCATTTCCATCTGTCTCAGTTTTGGACCTCAAGTGTTCCCCTCGTGGCTTCTCTTTTGCCAGTTTTTGCAAATCTGAACTAAGCAGCTCTTGCTTTTAAGAGGCCACATGAAGATCTTTGTGTACCTGACCCTGAATTTTAAACTTCACACGTAAATGATGTTCGGATCGGTACCCATTACCAGGCCGTGGCACCTGCAGTGCTCATGCTCTAGACTTGTTTCATACTGTTGTCCCGGTAAACACACTGGTGTGAGACTTGACGGGAAGTTGCAGCCACTCGGTGCCCATGTGAGGAGGGGGCTTAGGACCCATGGAGCCTCCCTCTGTGCTCCTCCCTGCCTGGAGCAGGGCCCATGGTCACAGCCGGTCTCTGGGGCTGACCTCCGTCTCTTGAGGAGGGCCTTGGCCAGCAAGTCACGTGGAGAAGAGGCCCTTTCACATGGGTGTGTGCACTGCACACAGTGTCAGCACACCAGCACTTCTGTGGATATGGTGCTGTAAGGATGCCTACACCAAAATCCAGTCTGCAGGATTTAAGTAGATCTAAAAAACCTGAAGATAACAAAGGTTGTAGGAAGCAGGCTGGCCACAGCAGTGAGTGGTGATGGCAAGCTGGCCGGGCCTGCCAGGTTCTCCATGTGGGAGGAGACCCCTGTGGTGAGGCCAGGATGCACACTGCCATGTTCTAGAATGGGAAGCAGACTTGACTGACCATTCACTAGATGGCACGTGCCAGAGGTTTGAGGGTTGATGACAACTTCTGGCTTTCTGGGAACAGTTGTGCTCCCGCCCTCCAAAGCCAGCTCCAGTGACAAGGGTGAAGTCTGTAGGTCTTCGGGCTGGAGGGTTATCATGCTGGGAAGGCAAACTGCTGGTGTTCGGCTGCAGGTCAGTCACAGCCCGCCCTATGAGTGACTGGGGAAGGGAAGGGCGTTCTGAGGGTGGACTGACTGGCTGCCCCACAGGTCCCCACCCACTGCATTAGCCAGGTCCAAGTCCAGGTCCAGCACCCATCCTCCTGGCAGCTGGCATGGTATTACACGTGACAAAAGTCTTGAGAATTTCTCGATGTCTGTGTAGGAGAAGTTGACGAGAATAAGACTGCTCTTCCCGCAAGAGGTCAGCGGTAGTGCCGCAGGTAGACCAGCTTCTGGGGAAGGAACTTCTCCCTGCAGAGGGGACACTCCGTCTGGGGAGAGTGGGGGACGGTCACAGGCCGCACCCAGCACAGCATCTCCAATAAAACAGGGATGTACCCATGTCTCTTAGAGAAAGCATTTTTTGCGACATTGCAGGTGGTTGGGGCGCAGGGCAGGGAGAGTGACCAAAGAGGAGATGATCAGGCCACAGGTGATGCGGGATAGGGAGGGCGCTTGGCCACTGAAGGACCATGGCCACCCAGAGCCTCTCAGTTTTGGGGTGTGAACTCAAGTGTCCTGTCCCCACTCCTCGGGACTGGGTCCCTCCTGTGAGGGCGGGTGCCCCACCTGGGCCATGTAGGGAGGCAGGGCCTGTGCTCTTGGGGCCTCTGCAGGGCAGCCTGGACCCCGGGAGGAGGCTACAGCACCCCCACCCCTGGGGCCCTGTGGGCTCTGAGGAACCAGGTGGGCTGGGCCTCAGGCCCCTGGAAGAGATGGGGAGGTACACAGGGGCCCAGGGGTTGCACCTCCTCGGAACCATCACAAGCCTAAGATCTAAGTGCCCTGCTCTGGCCCCCTGGCTTGCTGGACCCCACACTCCAAGGTCTCAAGGCCGAGCTCTGGCCCTACAACTCTAGGGCCTTCCTTTCTGGGTTGGAGCTTCCCCAGCTTCCACCAGTGCAGTGCCCTGACTCCAGACATGGCCCCAGGTCCAGCCTACCTGGAGGCTTCTAGGAACATGCCCCTACCCCAAATGACAGGCTGTTTTGGGGACAGGCACACTCCAGATGCCCACCTTGGTGTCGCTCCAGTGGGTGATACATTCCCAGCAGAACAGGTGGCCGCAGGGCGTGGCTGTCGAATGCCTGCGTTCCTCCAAGCACAGCGTGCACAGTGGGTTTCTGGAAATTGCTCTTTCCTCTGCATGGCTCCTGGCAGGAGTAGGTGGATGGGACACAACTGAGCTGGTGTCCTGCCGGGCACCTGGGGAGCCAGCCCCTGCCCCGCGCCCCCGCCCTGCCCCATGCACCTGCGGTGGGACAGGCTGCGCTGCAGCCTCCACTCCCTCCGGGCACGCTGCTTCTGCTGGAAGCCGTAGAGCTGCAGGCCTGCGCCCAGTGCCAGGTGCAGCAGGGACACCAACCCCAGCAGCTGGTAGCTGGCGCGAACCCGAGGGTCCTCTGCGAGTGGGCGGCGGACACGGAGCTGTCAGGGACCCGGGGGACAGTCACATGGTCAGAGGGCATGAGGCGCTGAGCAGCCTAAGGGCCCGGCCTCATGGGTGGCATTAAGCCAAGGCCTGCCCTCTGGCTGTGGGAGGGGGCAGGAGTGCCTGGTGGGCTCAGCACTGAGCAAGGAGGGTGGCGATGAAGCCTGCAGGTCACTGGTTGCAAGCAAGGCATCGTGGGAAGGGAAACTGCTAGGCGCCTAAGCCTCACAGAAAAGGAACCAGCAAAGAGGCCTGAGTGGGGGAGCCCTGCGTGGCGGATCCACTACTCAGCCCCATCCGGAAACAGAAGCTCCTGCTTGTATCAAGGCCCGGGGACTCCCAGCCACATCCTCCAATGGGAAGCTACTTGCCCTCTACTGCTGTCTCCTTCCCTAGCTGGGAGCAAGGACTGTCAGGTTAGCCAGACCAGCCAGAGCCCAAGAGATGGGGCCCTGGTGTCTGGGGAGGAAGAGCCCCCGTGGCCACCCCGAGGCCCTGAGTGGGTTGCAGTAGCTCGGCAGACACCTGGTGTAACAGGTACTGCAAGTGCAGTGAGGACTGGAGCTGCGAGAAGAAGGGGTAGAGGTGCCGGATACCCCTGTCAAGGGAGGCGAGGGGGTGGGGGAGAGCCTGGAGACCTTGGGGAGGCGGGGCCCAAGGGAAGGCCTTCGGGATGAACCTTGAAGCCAGGGCATCAGCTGAGACCCAGCAGGGTTGGAGTGCCCATGGTGGGCGGATACCACCAGGTCTGGAGACCACCAGACCTCCCCAGGTGGGAGGCCAGCAGGGATGCTGGTGGCACCGGGGTCCATGTGGTTGCTATCGGTCACCCTCAGGGGGATGTCCCCAAATCTAACCCTCTGTCAGGGTGGCCTGGAAGGGGTGGGCATACGGTCCAGGAGCCCAGGTATACAGCAAGGTGGCCACAGGTGCTGGCGGTGAAAAACAGACTCACCCACCCTCATCAGGGTTTTTGGAAAGCAGACTTCCTCTGGTCTTTTACTAAAACAGGACCCGACAAGACCCATGCTTCCAGTGGGGATTTCAGCTCCGGCCCTGTGACTGCTTGCGGGCATAGTCCCCGAACAGCCTCTGCAGACGAGCCAGACCTGTTACTTACGTAGGTGATGCCCGTGAACCTCTTGGCCAAGTGGTAGAAGGTGCCATGGATGTAGAACCAGGCCACATGGAGACGCTGGAGGCACCCGAGGCTCTGCTTGAGCGCTGACACGGCCCGCAAGAGCACCCCCTGCTGCTGTTCCGTCAGGGCGGCCATGCACCGGTGCACCCAGTACCTCATCCCTGACAGGCTGCTGGGAGCCAGGCTGCCCCGTAAGGGCCAGGCGCTGTCTCCAGTGGCCTGCAGCTCGTGCTCCAGGTGAAGCAGGGCCTTATCCAGCAGGTAGGGCAGGACGGTGTGCAGCGCCACCAGGATCCCGCGTCGCAGCTTCGAGGGCACGCGGCGCTGTGACGGGCCCACCTGCACGATGCTGACGTATTCCTCCCCAAGGGTCTGGTAGCCTGCAGGGAGAAGGGCCTCAGCGATCTCCTCTACTGGGTTCCCACCTCCCCTCCAAAGGACGATCCTCACAGCCCACGCCCTGTGGCAGGGCGCAATGCTGGGACCCCTCTTGGACCACAGGTTCAGCTGCGGAGAAACAGTCCCAGACAGACGTGACAGGGAACCTTAGGGATTCCAGAGGCCTGGACTGGACTCAGGGCCTGGACCCCACCTAGGGAGGGGTTTGGGCCCTTCCTTCCCAGAGGCTGCATGTGGGCCAGTTGGGAGACACTGTGAAGCACCTTCAGAAAGCTCCCTCTGCAGGCAGCCCTCTCCTGTCCTCGGGGCTCCTCAGGAGGTCGCGCTGTGGCCACTACCTGCTAGTGTGGTGAGGCTGAAGTAGGCGAGATCCGACACCAGCTCTACCTCTCTCCTCCACTCCAGCCACTTCTTCGCACCTAAGAGGAGGAACTGTACGTGTTATTCTTGAGGGGCTGGGGGCGGTGGGGCATGAGGGTCAGAAAAATCCTCGCTCCTGCTGCCCAGGCCCAGCTCTGCAGCCCCTGACTCGCCCCTGACACTCTGCTCGCTCCCTGGACTCTCGCGCTGTTCACACTTTCCATTGACACCTGCCTTGCCTGGGCCCTGAGTGTCCTGAGAACCTACCCACCTGCAGCCATGCCCCCTCCAGGATCCACCTAGGCAACTGCTGTAGAAGCCAGAGAACCACAAGTACAGGAAGTGTAACACAGTGACCGGGAACTCAAGCCAAGACCACTGACCAGCATCAAACCCAAGCTCCCACACTGCTGGCTGTGAGCTCAGGTGAGTTATATCTCTGGGATCCCCATTTCTCTGTCTCTGAGGAAGGTAATACCAACAGGTCCTCCAGGCAGGCATGTGTTAACAAAACGAGTTAATGTTCTGAAGCATGGAGAGCAGTGTCTCGCGTGGAGTAAGTGAATCTGTTAGCAAAATTAATACACGGGCCATTTGTTTTGATCCTGTGTGTTCCTCTCCTGCTCAAAG